GCTAGCTGGCTATCTAGCTAGCTAGCTGGCTAGCTGGCTAGCTGGCCAGCTAACTGCGTAGCTAGCGGGGTAGCTGTCTAGCTCGTTCGTCATTTAGCTAGCTGACTAGCTAGCTGGCTAGCTTGCCGGCTAGCCAGCTATCTAGCTAGCTAAATGGCTAGCTAGCCAAACGGCTAGCTAGCCAACTAGTTAGCTAGCTAGCTAGCTAGCTAGCTAACTAACTAACTAGCTAGCTAGCTAGCCATTTGTGCTGCTGCTGCTCAGGTCTTTTTTACCCGGTGTCCCGCCGCCTTTCGCAAGCCCTTTGGCTGACTGAATTTATACCAGAGATTAAAACCCTCGCACTAGTGGGTGGTGAGTTGCTGCTGCTGCTGCTGCTGCTGCCGCTGCTCTTTTTGCTGCTGCTGCTGCTCTTTCTGCTGCTGCTGCTGCTGATGCTGGCGCCGTGTGTGGCCCTGCAGCGCAGCTCTGCAACTATTAGCAGCGAGGCAGCCCTCGAATCAACTGCTGCAGCTGCAGCAGTTGGTGCTGCTGCTGCAGCAGTTGCTGTTGCTGCTGCGGCAGTTGCTGCTGCACAGCTCGTGGTAGTAGTTTCAGCAGGTGTCTCGCATGCATTTGGCTGTTTCGCATACGTTAAACATGTTGCCACAATGACCTTTGCAGGTCTGCTGCTGCTGCTGCTGCTGTCGCTGCTGCTTCCAGGAGTTGCTCGTAATCGGGAACTGCAGCAGCAAGTGCTGCAGCTGCTGCAGCAGCGCGCGGACAGCCAGCAGCAGCTGCAGCAGCAGCAGCGCGAATTTGCTGCACTCAAGAAGCGCCTCGCGAAGCTGGTCCAGAGGCGGCCCCTCGTCATCCTTTCAGGCCCACTGCAGCAGCAGCAGCAGCAGCAGCAGCAGCAGCAAATGAGAGAGGCCCTGCGCGCGCTAATTGACCGCTTTTCTGTCTGCGACTATTTGGCATTTCGCATTCCTGTTTCTTCTTTTGTCTCCTTTTGCTGCAGCACAACTGCTGAGGGGGCCCCCGTTGCTGCTGAGGGGCCCCTCTGCATCCCTGCAGCTCTTTTGGCTGCTCCTGCTGCTGCTGCTGTACCCTTACGGGCAGCAGCAGAAGCAGCAGCAGCAGCAGCAGCAGCAGTGGATCGCAGGGACAACACGGGCATCTCTACCCGTGAATGCAGGCGGTTTGATTTGCTGCTGCCGGGACAGTCGCAGTGGCTACAGCAGCAGCAGCAGCAACAGCAGCAGCAGCAGCAAGTCGGCAGCACCAGCAGCAGCAGCAGCAGCAGCAGCCTGGGAACTGCTCCCTCCGGCCAGTCTGGAGCCAATCCTCTCTTCCAGTTTCTCCCAGCGTTCTGGTGCTACTGCGGCTCTTGCAGCAGCAGCAGCAGCAACAGCAGCAGCAGCAGCAGCAGCAGCAGAGGTGTGCAGCGTCTTGTAGTTCCTGCTGCTTCTCTGTGCAACGATAATGCTGCAATGATTGCATGGGCAGCAATTCAATACATGCAGGCCCACAGAGGGGCCCCCAAAGGGGGGCCCCCCCAAGGGGGGCCCCCAAGGGGAGCCCCCCAACACAGGGGGCCCCCAGGGGGGGGCCCCCAAGAAAGGATAGTACCCTCTGTGAAGCCAAAATGGGACGGAGGGGGTCCCCTGCTGCAGCCGTTGGTAGCAATGGATTTGGTGCTGCTGCATGCGTTGCTGCAACAGCAAGCCGCGGGGGCCCCTGCTGCCTTGGGGGCCCCCCAGCAGCAGCTGGGGGCCCCCTTTGCTGCTGCAGAGCCAAACTGGCCTTAAGAGTTCCTTGCTGCACTTTATTTTCCAGTGTATGTACACCGCGGTTTCCTCTTTTTTACTAAAGCCAAAACAACCATCAAATGCATGTATAAATATATTATCTTAAAACTCAAAACAAACAAATTAATTAACTAATTAATTAATTAATTAATAAAAGAACAAATAAATAAATACATATACATATATGTATGTCTTATTCATGTCTTTACCTGCTCCCACGTGTATGCTTATGACGTTTATTTACTTTATTTTATTTATTTTAATCATTTAATTGATTTGATTTAATTAATTTAATTAATTTTATTTATTGTATTTATTTGTCTCTGTAGGCGGTGGGAAGAGAACTGGTTTTGCTGCAGCGAAAGAAGTGCTGCTGCTGTCGCGGGGTGTATGTACACCTCAGCAGCGCGCAGTGACCAGTGGTCAATTTGCTGCTGCAGCAAGCGGCTTTAGAGCAGCAGAAATGGCAATTAAATTAAATTAAGTTAAATTAAATTAATGATTTTAAATTTAAAGTCTTTGATTTAATCCGGGAGAGGCGGTCCCCCCCCTACTGCGAGATTGGGGTGTCTGTACACCCGGAGAAGGACCTCTGTGGTTTTATTTTCTGAAAATAAATTAAAATCAAAACTTTTATTCTTTTTAAAGGCCCCAGCAGCTGCTGCTGCCTCTACACTGCTGCTGCTGCTGCTGCTGCTGCTCGGGTGTACATACACACGAATGCAGCCGCCACAGCAGCGCGGCGGGGAGTTCAGGAGGCAGCAGCAGCAGCAGCAGCAGCCCGAAAAAAAATTAAATATATTTAATGAAATATTTTAAACATTTTGAGCTTTGTGATGTGCAGTTGCTGCTGCAAGTTGGCAGTGAGCAGCAGCAGCGCGGGGGCTGCTGCTGCTGCTGCTGCTGCTGCTGCTGCTTCCCAGCCCTCACGCTGCTGGCAGCAGCTGCTGCAGCTCCCGGGGTTTCTGCTGTCTCTTTTCTTTTCTGGCGCTGAAAACTCTGTCGACTTGAGAAGTATAATTAAAGTTAGCAGCAAAAAGAAGTTGGAAGCAGCTGAAAGCGAGTTTGTGGGTTGGTCTGTGCAGCAGCAGCAGCGCAGCAGCA